TATGAGTTCAACTTTATTAGATTCTGTATTTAAGTGAGATCATGAGGTATTTGTCTTTCTGTGCCTGGCTTATTTCACTTAGCATAATGTCCCCTAGATTCATCCATGTTGTAGCAACTGACAAGATTTCCATCTTTTTAAAGGATGAATAATAATGCCTGTGTATACATGCCACATTTTCCTTACCTATTCATCCACTGATGGACACTGAGGTTGATTCCATGTCTTGGCTATTGTGAGTAAGGCAGAGCAAGTCCTGTAGTTGGATAAAAGCTTGGTTTTATCAGGCAATGGTATATGTTTATCTTATGGATACCAAATGTTATAACCTGTTCAGTTTCCCTTCTACTTTGGCTTTTAGGAAGATTTAAGAACAGGTTTAAAGCTTGCTTTTGGTAAGCGAGTGGGATCTTATGTGTTTATGTGCTCCAGCTTTTCTTCTGGTTTTAGCCGATTGGTATGCTTTTTCCCTTGAACTTGATTTTTAAGTCTATATTCCTAACTTTTTCTAATCTTAATGACAGCCCTGCAAGACAGATATTAGCATCTTCATGTCACAAATGAGGAAACCAAGGCTTACCGAAGGCCGCATGTCCAACAGCCGGCAAGGCAGGGATTCCCACCTAGTCGTCTCACTCCTGTCCTTCCCATGACCACAAAATGCCTCTTAGTTCTGGACTCTCTTGCCCACCAGCATTTGGACCTGAGCTCAGTGATCTCTGAGGTCCTTTCAGACTCTGAGATTTTTGTCTCACGATGTTAAGTTGCTGACTGAGATGAGACTAGGAGCAGGGCCAGCTTAGGTCTGGACTCTTCTAGGAGACCTGTTATGAAACCTGGCAAAAGCACCCAGATTGTATTTGATCAATCCCCAGCCCTTTCAGTTGAGATGACCTTGATTCCCTGGGTATGTCTTACTGTTTGGGTTGGATTAAATTTGCCCCGGAGTGGAGATGAAACTGAAGAAGGAAGTCTGAGACCGCAAGGAGGGGTTGAAGGATGGGATGATACTCTGCAGCCAGCTGCCCTCATCCCGAGCCTGCCTTTCTAGCCTCTTGGCCCTGATGTGCTGAAGGGAAAAGCTGTGGAGGCTTACAGGGATACACAGGAGGCCCAGCCAGGCACAGCCTAAAAGCACAGCCAGAGCGGTGACCCCAGGACTTGTGACCTTTGAAATACTCAGCCTGCTCAGCATTTGGTACTGCCTCCCACCCCCCACCAGGGCTGCTCCTTACCTTCAAAAATGTGGCGAGCTACCGGAATCCTGTAGGAACCTGAGAGTGCTGATGACAAATTTCATTTTGTTTACCCAAACATCAGTCATGCTTGTTTATGTTCTGAAAACCACTCCATCCAACACCCTTGAGAAACGCTGGCCTAGAACACAGACAGCCTTAGTTAAAATGCCTGTGCCATCAGAAAGGGCTACCTCGAGCTACTGTTTGTCAAACTGCCCCACCAAGAGGCCCTGAGTTCTAGAAGGGAATGAAAAGATTTCCAAGTAGAGTTAGGACTAGGGGCATGAGGAGAGATGCCTGGGGATGTGGCCTGATTCCTGAGTATTACATTTCTTTGATATACTTTTATATTTTATCTCAAAATCAGATGAATGATATATTGTCCTCCACAATCTATGTGTTTCCAAATAATATGTCATATTTCTCTGCAAATCTTGGAGTAACGTTGATGCTCTAGGAAGGTGTGTGTGTCTAACTCGGGTCTCCCAGGTCTGAACTCCCAGGTGCAGTGAATTGAGTTTAGGAAATACAACACAGGCAGACCTCACATTGGAAGTAGTTTATCTGGGTGGCTCACCCAGCCAGCTTGTCAGGTGCAGAGGGAACGGCACCTAGGTAATTTAAGTGGGACAGGTGTATGAGGTGTGAACATCAGGGAATTCCTGGGCCAGGCCCCATGGGACACCACCAGACAGGAGCTAGCTAGGGAGCACAGTGAGGCCCTGTGGGCCTGGGGCAAAGGAGCAGCAGTGGAACATACTCCTGCTGCTCATTTGGCTGCCAAAGAGATGCAGAATGGGATTAAACTGGTCTCTTTCTCAGACTGTTTTATAAGTCATTCTTCACTTGTGACACAGGCCCCTTTGAAAACTTCCTGCTGTACCTTTGATTCACAGTACATTTGGGGTATGTATCTGGGAGCTGAGCCTGATATGGAGCCAGGACCTCACTCGTTCAGTGAGCATCTATTGAGTGTCTAAGCATTTATTGACTATCTACTGGGTGAGGCTCTTTACTAGGTGTTGGTGTTTATACCTGGCTCCCTAAAAGTCTCCCAAGTTTGCAAGAAAAAAATTGCCTGTAAGTTCCCTGCCTCCCAAGGTGACCAGTTGTCTTCATTTGCCCAGGACTGCGGTGATTAGGACACCAGACTTTCAGTTTTGAAACTGGGAAAGTTGTGGGGAAATTGGAATGAGCTGGTCGCCTTCTTGCCTCCCTTGCTGTGACATTTTACAAGAACAAACTTGCACCTTCTGACTGTGGTGCAGGGGAGGTGCCGAGGAAAGTCAGGGATGGTGTTCAAGAATGGAAATGAACCTCAGGGATCTGTGGGGAGAAGAAATGGGGGCTTCGAGTGAGCAGGCAAGTGGCAGCCAGGATGCCGGTTGCTGCTGGGCTTTTGCACGGCGGTGGAGCTCATTTCCCTCTCTTGTCTCTGTATAGAAGTCCTCCTACCTAGCTTCCCACCTTTATTATTGGCCATGGATTTTATAGTGTTTTTAAACATCTTATTTTATAGAATCTCTATAAATGATGATAACACTGAGCTGTTGAAAGATGATGCTTCCTGGCTTATGGAATTATTGAATTTCAGACTAGACAGTGATGAGAAAGCTCATCTGCTCAAAGACGCAGGAATCCTCTTGATGTCCTTGCCTCTGCTTGCAGAGCTCTGATGGGGAGCTCACTGTAGCACAAGGCAGACCCAGAAAGTGGCAGCACCCCAGGCATTTACCAGGTTTCCCCTGTGTGGAGCTGAAACCTCTACCTGCCCTTCCATGTATGTTCCCCAGAGTGAAACTACCAGAACCCACTATTTCCTGGTCACTTGCTTCGCTGTTCTATTAGAACAGTCTCCCCTCTCCCAGAAGCCCCTCTAACTTCGGACTGCTCAGCAGGGTTGAAATAGAAAACCAGGTAGTCAGTGCCACCCTCCTCTGAAAGCCAAACTAGGCTCTGAGGGTGGGCATTGCTGGGACATATGTGGCCCCTGATCACAAAGATTTCCTGATGTCCCAGATCACAAAGGTTTCCTTGCTGGTTCTGGTCACTGCCAGGAGCCTGGTCAGCACTCCTGTGAGTGCCTCAGGCTTTGTGGCAGTGGCTGGAAAATGGCCCAGGGCCCGTAGAACCAGCAGACACCCTCCCATGATGCCCCCTGCACTGGGCCTTGAAAGTTTGTGATGCCCTCATCAAACTCCAGGTCTGTGCTCACGTTATCTCTCACACTCCTCCTTCTCACCCTGCCTTCCTCTGTTCTCACACCCCAGCTCTTACTTCTCCCCAACTTTGTGAGCTTTCATGGAGTACCCTGGACAGGTCATTGACTCCACCCTCCAGCCTCTAAATGGACATCTCTCCTGAGGAAGTCGAGAAGGGGCTCACTGGGGGCAACATTCCCTAGCTTTGTTGCCAGAGGGCTAACAGAGACCCCTCACACAGGGTATCTGGCCCAGTGCTAGTGGGAACAGGTCTTATGGGTCCTAGCCTGTGCTCCAGGGCTGTACCCCACATACCCCAGCCATCCCAGACCGGCAGGTCCTAGTTAACAAAGAACCAGCCTTGTATACGCCAGCTACTCCACCTCTGGAACTTGTCCCTGACTTGGAAAGTGAATTCACAGAGCTGTGGTTGCCAATTTCATTTTCAAATTGCCCTTAATATCAGGACGCTTTCTTCCACACAGCTGAAATCTTCCTCACAGCAGCTCAAGCCTCCTTCTTCAGTCCTCAGAGTCCTGGACATCACAGACCCACTGAATTCATGTGTAAATTTAATGTATAGTCCAGGTGCAGTGGCTCATGCCTGTAATCCCAGCACTTTGGGAGGCTTAGGCAGGTGGATCACAAGGTCAGGAGTTTGAGAACAGCCTGGCCAATATGGTGAAACCCTGTCTCTAAAAAAAAATACAAAAACTAGCCAGGCATGGTGGCATACGCCTGTAGTCCCAACAACTCAGGAGGCTGAAGCAGGAGAATCGCTTGGACCCGGGAAGTAGAGATTGCAGTGAGCCAGATAGCGCCACTGTACTCCAGCCTGGGCGACAACAGAGTGAGATTCTATCTCAAAACTAAAAAAAAAAGAAAAAAAATGTGTAAATGTGTAATTTTTTTTTTTTTTGGGGTTGGGCATTAGTCAAGCCTGCTTTGGTTGCCCTAAAATCACAACTATTTAGAATTCCCATCTGATATGGTTTGACTCTGTGTCCCCACCCAAATCTCATCTTGAACTGTAATCCCCACATGTCCAGGAAGGGACCTGGTAGGGGCTGATGGATTGTGGGGGCAGTTTCCCCATGCTGTTTTTGTGACAGTGACTGAGTTCTCAGGAGATCTGATGCTTTTAAAGTATTTGGCAGTTCCTCTCTTTCCTCTCTCTCTCTCCTCTCTCTGTCTCTCCCTTTCTCTCTCCTCTCTCTCTCCCTCCCTCTCTCTTTCCTCTCTCTCCCTCTCTCTCTCCCTCTCTCTCTCCTCTCTCTCTCTCCTCTCTCTCTGTTTCTCCTCTCTCTCCCCCTCTCTTCTCTGTCTCACCCTCTCTCTCTCTCTCTCCCTCTCTCTCTCCTTTCTCTTTCCTCTCCCTCTCTCTCACTCCCTCTCTCTCTTCCTCTCTCTCTTCCTCTCTCTCTCCCTCTCTCTCTCCTCTCTCTCTGTTTCTCTTCTCTCTCCCTCTCTCTCTCTTCTCTGTCTCTCCCTCTCTCTCTCCTCCCTCTCTCTCTCCTGCTGCCTTGTGAAGACATGCCTTGCTTCCCCTTCACCATCTGCCATGAATGATTCTAAGTTTCGTGACGCCTCCCAAGTCATGTGTAACTGTGAGTCAATTAAACCTTCTTCGTTTATAAATTACCCAGTCTCAGGTAGTATCTTTGTTGCAATGGAAAACCTACTTAGCACCAACACAATTTTAGCAGCAATTATAATTTTCTGAGCTACTATTGCAAAGATGGGCGCATTTCATTAAGACATACATATGGTGAAACATATGGTGGTGTATGGATATTTAGTTGTGAATGCAAATACACTTGAGGTCTCCTGCTGGGAGCACCCATTATGTGCCCGATTTACTGAGATAATATGGACAAGTGTGGGTCCTTTCAGAAACACTACCTGACTAAACCCTTCCTGTCATACTTCAAGGTATGTATTGTCCACATTTTACAGTGGAGGACATTGGGAGGCAGCCGGTGGGAATTGCCACGTTGCACAGTGACAGAGCTGGAACTGGGGCTCTCTGGGAGTCTTTGTCTTAAGACTTTTTTCCTCTATGTACTTCACCATTTCACTATTTGATTGCTTTATACCAACAGACACAGCAGAGCTGCCTATTTATATCCGTTTTCCCAAGTCAAATTCAGCAATGGTGGTCCTGAGGGTCTTCATTCCTCAGTTTCCTCTTTTGTTGCACATTCTCAAACCCACAGTTGTGAGCCTAGATGCACACTCCAGCTGTATGACACATGAGTGTTTACACCCTGCATGGGTGTGGGATCAAGTGGCTTAAACTCTTGATTCCTAAGTGAAAGAATAAACGGAAATCCAGTCAGCTGCACAATGCTTTATCATGTGACTCACTTTCTCAGGAACTTACAGTGAGGAGGTGACTTGTATATCTAGCAGAGAGTCAATAAATAAATCATAGGACATCCATCTATAAAATACATAAAAATCATATTTAAAAAAGTTTTATAGAGAATAGTTGAAATTTGGGGGAAGAGTTCATTCTCTAATGTTAACTAAATAAAGCAAGATGGAGAAGCATATGTAGAGATGATCCAAATTTGTCAAAATCACAATATACAGAGCACAAAGACTTGGAAGGTGTGTACCTATACCGTGTGTGAAACCTATAAATGGCTTTGTTTTTTATCTTTGTGAATTTCAGTATTTTCCATTTTCTACAGTAAACATGTCCTGTATTTATACTTATAAAAATCTATCAGTTAAAAAGTGCTACAGTCTATGGTCATACCCCAGCTCCTTTGCCAGGTGTACCAAGACATCTCGTAGTGTATGAAATGTGATGTAGAGTGGAAGTGGCTCTTCTCCGAGTACCTGAGAGTGAACCAAGGATGCATCTGGGATTGCAGCCAAGAGGATGGGGTTGTCCAGAAGGACTGACCCCTGCCTGCAGTGCCATCACTGTTCCCACTGCATTTTTCCATCTATTGTCACATTTGAGTCATGGCCTTCCAGAGATGAAAGCAGTCTGATAACAATACTTTAAGATTTAAAAGGAGGCAAGAATGTGGAACCTTTTCTTTTCTGGGAAGATCAAGAAGTGATTCTGTCCAGGAATCTGCTCTCTCTGTTCTTCTGGAGCCCACTCCCAGGGGGTGGCTGAGATTGTAGGAATCCAGCCCTAAGGTTTGGCCAAATATCTTAGAGAAGCAAATGTGTCTGATCGGCTCCTTGCCATGTAGGAAAAGTAGACCTGAGGGTGAGGTGGTAAGAATAGAAACCTGGATGGGATCTGCTAGGTGCTAACTAGGGGTCTGGTCCTGAGCCTGGGGTTTTATGTCTGGGAGGATGCGGGGAACATTCCTGGGTGAGTTTTCACTTAGTCGTTGGTGAGAGTTTATCAACCATACACTCTTTGAAAGATAAAACTCTGCTAGTGTAAATGGCAGGGCTTTCTGAACTCTCAGGCCAAGAGTGGTGTTGGGATGAATACCAGAGACCCATTTATTCATTCATTTATTCTTATTGACCACCTGTAATCAACCACTGGAAATCCAAAAATGAATAAAACAGAGTGAACTATGCCCACATGAGTGAGATAGACAGTGGACAGAGCGCAAATAAGTACAAAGTTATAAAACACATCATATGAAAGCAGAAAGGGTTTGGTTTTGTGAGAATGGGATAGGGACATAACTGGATTCTACTTAATGCATCTGAGGTCATGGACTCTGAATTTTAACAAGTCGCCTTCATGGTTCTCATATAGAACCTCTGTATGGGGAACATGACTGTAAATCAGACAAGGTCCCTATCTTCCTTCCAAAGGCTGTGGTTAGGTGGGGTAAGATGAACCATAGAAGCTATTGTGAGTTATGGTTTCCATCCACATGACGGGTTCATATGGAATCCTTCCTACTGCAAACACCACATACAATAGAACAGCACCAGAGATTTAAATGCTTGGCAGAACTTGCAAGAAAGAAAGTGAAATCTCCAGGTGAAGGAAATGAACAATGAATTAAACGCAGGAACAATTAGGACACCAGTTGACCCTGCAGCAAGGAATAAGGAGGAAATGTGTGTGGTGCAATTAGACCAGTAAAGAGACGCTAAAGCAACTCCTAATGGACGCTGGAATTTAGTACTCACACAGGTACCCAACGATATGGGGAGCTGAAACTCAGACCCATTCATAAAGCTAGGCACCTTGGTGAAAAGGGAACTAATAAAACACTGCCCACTACTCCAGGGTCAGCAGAGGTTTATCTCTAACAAGATCTCTGGATTAAAAAAAATTCCTCTGAGAAACCAAAATCCCAAGGCTGCATCATGTAGAATTAGAAACAGAATTTATACCATTCACATGGTATAGTAATGCCTGCCTTATGCCCTGTATAGAAATTAGTTTAAAATGGATAAAGGATCTAACCGTATGACCTAAAATTATAAAACTTAGAGGAAAACAGAGAGAAAGCTTTGTATCATTGGATTTGGCAAGGATTTCCCGGATATGACACCAAAAGTATAGGCAACAAAAGAATATATAAAGAGTTCTTACAACTCAACAACAACAAACCCAATTAAAAAATTGGCAAAAGACTTAAATAGACATTTATCTAAAAATGATAAACAAGTGGCCAAAAAGCACATGAAAAGATGCTCAACACTGCAGATCATTAGGGAAATACAAATCAAAACTGCAATGTGACATCACACCCATTAGAATGGCTACTATAAAAAACAAAACAACAGAACATAACAAGTGTTTTCAAGGACGGGGAGAAATTGGAACCCTTGTGCACTATTGCTGGGAATGCAAAATGATGCAGCTGCTATGGAAAACAGTATGCAGTTACTGAAAACATCAGAAGCAGAGTCATGATATGATCTCACAGTTTTGCTTCTGGGTATACATCCAAAAAAATTGAAAGCAGGGTCTCAAAGAGATATTTGTACACTTATGTTTATAGCAGCACCATTCACAATAGCCAAAAGGTGGAAGCAACCCAGATGTCCATCAGTAAATAAATGGATAAACAAAATATGTATATACATGCAATGGAATATTATTCAGCCTTAAAAAGAAAGGAAATTCTGACACATACATGCTACAATACAGATAAAACATGAGGACATCATACCAAATAAAATAAGCCAGTTACAGAAAAACAAAATACTGTATGATTCCATTTATATTATATAACTAGAATAGTGAAATTCATAGAGACAGAAAGCAGAATGGTGGTTGCCAGGGGCTAGGGGGAAGTGGAAATGGTGAGTTATTGTTCAAGGGGTATAGAGTCTCAGTTCTGCAAGATGAAAAGAGTTCTAGAGCTGGATCATGGTAATGGTCGCACAACACACAAATTACTTAATGCCACTGAACTTAAGATAGACTGGGCACTGGTGGCTCACACCTGTAATCCCAACACTCTGGGAGGCTGAGGTGAGATGATTGCTTAAGCCCAGAAGTTTGAGACCAGGCTGGGTAACAGAGTGAGACCCCATCTCTACAAAAAAACAAAAATAACAAAATAAAAACATTAGCCAGGCATGGTGGCATGTACCAGCGGAGGTAGGAGGAGTGCTTGAGCCTGGGAGGCCCAGGATGCTGTGAGCTGTGGTTACAGCACTGCATTCCAGCCCAGGCAAGACCCTGTCTCAAAACATAGCAATAATGATAAAAAGGTTAAGACGGCAAGTTTTATGTTAGGTGCATTTTATCACAATTTTAAAAATATATAGATAATCATTAAGACAAAAAACATTGAATATACCTTCTAAAACAGAAGAGAGTAAAGAATAAAGAAACCTAATTAAACAACAAAAGCCTAGGAAAGGAGGAGGAAAATGGCAAAAAAAAAAAAAAAAAAAAAAGGAAATAAAACAGCCAAAAATAAACTTCATGGTAAATAGGAACACAATATAAATATAATCAGGTTGATGCAAATCTAGATTTATCAAAAATTATAATACATGAAAATGGGCTACTCATTATTTCAGAGCTAGAAAATCTCAGATTGTATAAAAGAGAGATAAAATTTAATTACATGCTCCTTAAAAGAGACATCTAAAACAATATGACACAGAAAGATTGAAAATCAAGGAACAAAGAAGAACAGAATGCCAGCTAAAGAAAGATGATTTATCTGCCGTAATAACAGATAAGAGTGTTTAAAGCAAAAAGAATGGCAGACTGTGAGATGTTTGCAATGTCTAAAACTGACCAGGTATGAATATCTAGAATACAGGGAAATCTTGATAATCTACAAGAAACCTAATAGGAAATGTGTGAAGCGTTGGAACAGGTGGACTGGCATGCCAGCTGGGCTCGCCCTACCCTCTACACTTTTCTTTGAATGTCATGGTCATTGTTTTCCACTGTTAACCTCTGTCTTCTCCATGGCTGAGTCACGGTTGGCAACTAGAAAGTGCCTGTTTTCCTTCACTGGAAAGCCCCCAATTTGATAAATTTGCTGTTAGTCTCCTATTGCTGCTGTAACAAATTATCACAAACCGAGTGGCTTAAAACAACACAAAATATTGTCTGACGGTTTTGGAAGATCAGAAGTCCTTGATTTCTTAAGGTGTTAGTAGGGCTGTGTTCCTTCTAGAGGCTTTAGTGGAGGATCTCTGTTGAAAACCTGGCCTTTTTCACCTTCTAGAGTCACCTACATTCCTTGGCTTGTGGCCCCTTTCTCCATCCTCAAAACTAGCATCTCAGCATCTGGAAATCACTCTCCTTTTCAACCTTTTTTTTGGACTCTTGCCTCCTTATTTTAAGCACCCTTGTGGCCTGGCGCAGTGGCCCACACCTATAATTCCAGCACTTTGGGAGGCTGAGGCAGGCACATCACCTGAGGCCAGGAGCTCAAGACCAGCCTGGCCAGCATGATGAAACCCTGTCTCTACTAAAAATACAAAATTAGCTGGGCATGGTGGTGCATGCCCGTAGTCGCAGCTGCTCAGGAGGCTGAGGCAGGAGAATCGCCTGAACCTGGAAGGCGGAGGTTGCAGTGAGCTGAGATCATGCCATTGCACTCCAGCCTGGGTAATAAGAGTGAGACTCTGTCTCAAAAAACAAAACAAAAAAACAAATAAAAAACCTTGTGATTAAATTGAGACCGCCCAGATAATCCAGAATAATTTCCCAATTTAAAATCGTTAATCACATCTACAAAATCCCTTTTCTCAGGTAAGGCTTTCTTTATAGGTTCTGGGGATTTAGGATGTAGACATTTGGGGAGGCCATTATTTTGTCTAATATAGGGTTCAACCAAACCAGAGACAGTAGAAGATACACACGCACGCACGAAGAGATTTATTACAAAATTTGGCTTACATAATTTGAGGAGCTGGCTAAACAAATCCAAAATTCAAAGGGCAGGCAGTCAGGAGGGGATGATCCCAGGCAGGCTGGAACTCACAAGCGCCAAAGCTGCTGTCCACAAAGGAAATTTCTCTCTTTTTTTTTTTCCTCTCTCTCCTTCCCTCCCTCTCTCAACCTCTGCTTTAACTGATTGAGTTAAAGGCTTTCCAACTGATTGAGTCTGACCCACCCAGATTATCTAGGACGGTCTCCCCGTACTCAGTGTTAACTGATTGTATAATTTAATCACATCTGCAAACTCCCTTCACAGCCACTAGGCTGGTATTTGAATAACTGCAGACTGTGTCCTAGCCAAGTTACCACATCAAAAACACCGTCCCGGGGGCCAGGGGCAGTGACACTCAAAACAGGTATTAGACAGAATGTGGCAGCCGCAGGCCAAAGGCTCCAGGAATGGTGAGCATCATTGAGCAATAGGAAATACCAAAAGGAGGGGTGCAGGGAGCCAGAGGGATTTTGTTGAAGTCACTGATAGGAGGAGGAAGGCATGCTCTGGTTAAGTTTCCGCAGGGAGGCCTGGAATGCGGCATTCTGTTTATGCCTTCCCACAGTTTGAAAATCCCATGAGGGGGTCTGGTTCTCTCCTTACACAAACTCTGCCAGAGCCATAACGATCAGATGCCCAGCATATCACCAGTGTGTCCATGTCCCTTCCTTATGTTGCTTACCAGTACATGTTCTGAGACCCACTGGTAAGGTCACAGGCCCCTGGGCTGCAGACATGAATCCACCCGTGTGCGGGAAAGGTGGGTGAGCTCATGTCTGCTTCTCCTAGGGCTGCAGCTGGTAGGTGTCAAGTATTTGCTTAGCTAATCTTTCCTCGTCTAAAGATGCTTATTGATGATTTCATTCAGGAGTCTTGAAACCCGCAGGTAGAAATCCCAGCCAACACAAACCAGGTGTAGATGATGAAACCACATTCCCTTGCACTTGCCTTTGAGAACTCCAGGTGAGGGAGGGGGATATTCAGAGTAGTTGGGAGGTGGATCAGTCCTGGAATACTCCCGGCCCACGCCGACAGTGTTCCCAGATCCTCCGTGAGGAGTTCCTACACCCAGATGGGCAGATGGCCAAGGGGAGTACGGAGAAATCAAGGAGTTGAATCAATTTTACCCCAGGAAGGACTTTTTTTTTAATCTGCGCTGTTTTATAGAATAGATTTGCATAAGAGGTTTAGCCTTGTTTCCAAGAAACAGATACCAAGGAGAAAAGATTTAGGTTAGAGCTCCGGAAGACCTACTCGAGTCTAAGGCAGTGCTTCTTAAAGTATGGTGCCAGGACTAGCGGCGTTAGCATCACCTGGACGTTTATTATACATGCACCATGCTTGGCCGGGCATGGTGGCTGACGCCTGTAATCTCAGCACTTGGAGGCTGAGGTGGGCGGATCACGAGGTCAAGAGATTGAGACCATCCTGGCCAACATGGTGAAACCCCATCTCTACTAAAAATACAAAAATTAGCTGGACATGGTGGTGTGTGCCTGTAATCCCAGCTATTCAGGAGGCTGAGGCAGGAGAATCGCTTGAACCCTGGAGGCAGAGGTTGCAGTAAGCTTAAAAAAAAGAAGAAGAAGAAGAAAACCTGTAGGTAGAGCCCAGAAAACTGTTCCAACAAGCCATCTCGGTAATTCTGATGTACCCTAAGTTTCAAGAACATCTGCTCTGAGGCAAGCACATCTCTGATTCATACGCAGTGGTCACTGAGGTATCTGTGATATTCTGGCGGCCAAGGTATTCATTAAAGTGATTGGTGGGAAGTAATGGGTATTCAACTCGAATGGTTGCCAGGGAACATGAGCTTCTAATGTAGGGGCTGTAATTGAGGGGAAGAACTTCAGGAGTATCCTAAGTTTGCCAGGGAAGGCCTCCCAGAGCTTTCTGCTGTGGCCTGGGGCAAAAGCTGAGGGCCGTGAACCTCAGTCCCTGAGAACCCTGGGCCAGGAGGCAGGAGGGTGCTGAGGGAGGAGCCTTCTCAGCAAGGAGAGGCCAACACATATTGGAATTTGGAGAATCTGCAGGACTGCTCACAGCGCACAGGCTTGCTGTGCTAGGCTGAATTCCATATCTGTCTCCTTTTGCCCCCATATAGTTTGGAAATGGCAAATGTTTTGGGAGGCTGAGGTCAGGAATGTTCTCACTAATGATGTTTATAGGTTCAAGTTAAATACTGTAGGTAAGCAAGAAATTTGAGAAATTAGCTGGTGGGGTCCCCTTTGGCCTATTCTTGCCCTTATTTTCCATGCCTTAACTGAACATTTTATGGAGCAGAGAAGACCTTGACGTCCTGACTGACCAACCCCTTTCAGAAGGGTGGCGATCACTGTGGTCTATTCGCCTGGTTCCTTGGGGTCATGGCAGTGGGGTGAAGAGAGGTTCTGGTTGCTATCATCTAAACACGGCTTTCTGATGGGAGAGGAGGGAGCATGCCTTCCTTGACCTCCAGCCTCGACCTCTGCATGTAACAGTTTCCTTTCCTCTCTCACATCAGCCTGGAACCTGGGGGAGCTTTTCCGAGAAGGGATTTGGGCATTTTCTGTGGCAACATTTGAGTTGAATACCCATTATTCACTGAAGATGACTCACTCGTCTTTCATTCAGTTTCTCCCACCTTTCCTTACCCAGTCCCTGCAGATATTTCTCTCCTTCTTTCCCTGTCTTTGCTGATCTGAGGAGTAGAGAGAGGAGGGGAAAGGGAGGAGAAAATGACTTGGGAGAGACAGGAAAATGTCAAAGAGGTGAGGCCACAGAAGGAGCAGCCAGCCTTCTGTTGGAAAAAGTTTAGAAATAAGTTGAGAAGATGGAATGAGAAGAGCAGGAATAGTGGCTCCTGGGGAAAACAGGTGCCCAGGCCTTGTGCTGGCCAGGGATTCCCACAGAAGATCAAGAAGGCCTGAACAACTGCCATCCTGGTGCAGCCTCCCGTGATAAAGCAGACTCCTCCCATCTAAAGACTAGAGAAGGCTGAGCGTGGTGGCTCACGTCTATAATACCAGCAGTTTGGGAGGCCAAGGCTAGTGGATCACCTGAGGCCAGGAGTTTGAGACCAGACTCACCAACATGGTGAGACCCTGTCTCTACTAAAAATGCAAAAATTAGCTGGGCACGGTGGCATGGGTCTGTAGTCCCAGCTACTTGGGAGGCTGAGACAGGAGAATCATTTGAACCCGGGAGGCAGAGGTTGCAGTGAGTTGAAATTGCGCCACTGCACACCAGTCTGGGTGACATAGACTCCATCTTGAAAAGAAAGAAATAATAACAATAATAATAAAAACTAGACAAAAGATTCTGTTTGGACCCAGCAGCCCCTGCGAGGGTCCAAATCCTTGGTCTCTCAGAAGTCAGAGGTCAGATGTATGAGAACATGTGCCAAGTGATGAGGCCTTTGTTGTCCTGCTTTCTTGCTAATTTAGCAAGTGAATTTCTGTAGTAACAGGTACCCCCTGGGCTGTATTTAGGCAAGCCTTCCGTCTTACCAAGGGAAATGTGCAGATGTGCAGAGTTTAACAAGTCATGACGCTCTGGTCTCAGGGAGAAGGAGCAAAAGGTAGCAGACATAATACGACGAGACATTTTCCTTAGCTACCGTCTTGCTCAGGGAGCGCCAACGTTGTATAAAGCCCAAGGGGGGCGATATTTCAAAATCCTAAATGTTGCTATTGGGTTGTCATTTCAAATTGGGGATGGGTCTTGGATTCCATGTGCACCAGAAAGGACCTTATCTTTTCTTCCAGGGTGTGAGGTTGAATAGTGGGCAGAAGTGAGGCTGCCTTTCCCTGGAGTTCAAGTTTCCCTAGAGTTAGAGTTTCCCTAGGCTAAAACCCAGGGATCTATTCCTAATGCTCCTGCACCCCTCTGCACCCCCTTCCCCAGGTGTTTAACAGTCAAGTTGTCACAATCTGTTTACAAGGCCGGAGAGAACTGTGGTCTTACTGCCCTCGGAGGTCGGAAGGTGCCTCGCTTCTCCCTCAACACCTCCCATCAGCCTCTTCCCTTTGCTGTGGCTCCTCCCCGCTCCCATCCCTACCTCCCTGCCCCCTCTCCTCAGT